GAGAAAGAGAACAGAGAACCAGAAGAAGGAACTGAATTTTTCCCTCTCTTTCTTTTATGCTGTCTTTCTCTCTCTTTCTCTGAATAATCTTTCTCGCTCTTTAAGAAGCAAACAGAGAGAGAAAGAATGAAAGAAAGAGAGGAGAGAGAGAGAGAGAGAGAGAGAGAGAAAGAGGAACAGAGAACCAGAAGAAGGAACTGAATTTTTTCCCTCTTACTTTTTGCTGTTTTTTTCTCTCTTCTCTCTCAATCTTTTTTTCAAGAAGCAAACAGAGAGAGAAAGAATGAAAGAAAGAGAGGGAGAGAGAGAGAGAGAGAGAGAGGAGAAAGAAAGGAACTGAACCAGAAAGACTTTTATGCTGTCTTTCTCTTTTTCTCCTCTCGCTTAAATTTAGAGAAAGAAATCAAAGAGGGAGAGAGAGAGAGAGAGATTCAGGAACAGAGAACCAAAGAAGGAACTGAATTTTTTTCTCTCTTACTTTTATGTTGAACATCTCTCTTTTCTCAAGGGAGAAACAGAGAGAAAGAATGAAAGAGAGAGAACAGAGAGAGAAAGAGGAACAGAGAACCAGAAGGAACTGAATTTTTTCCTCTCTTATTTTATGCTGTCTTTCTCTCTCTCATTCTCTCAATATTTCTCGCTCTTTAAGAAGCAAAAGAGAGAAAAAGAATGAAAGAAAGAGTCCGAGAGAGAGAGAGAGAGAAAGAGGAACAGAGAACCAGAAGAAGGAACTGAACAGATTCCCTCTTACTTTTATGACAGAATTTTCTCTTTTCTCTCAATCTTTCTCTGCTCTTTAAACAAACAGAGAGAAAAAGAATGAAAGAAAGAGAGGTGAGAGAGAGAGAGAGAGAGAGAGAGAGAGGAGAGAAAGAGTGAACAGAGAACCAGAAGAAGGAACTGAATTTTTTCCCTCTCTTAACTTTTATGCTGTCTTTTCTCTCTCATTCTCTCAATCTTTCTCTGATTCTTTAAGAAGACAAAATAGAGAGAGAAAGAATGAAAGAAAGAGAGGTGAGAGAGAGAGAGAGAGAGAGTGAGAGAAAGAGTGAACAGAGAACCAGAAGAAGGAACTGAATATTTTCCCTCTCTTACTTTTATGCTGTCTTTCTCTCTCTCTCTTTCTCTCTCAATCTTTCTCGCTCTTTAAGAAGCAAACAGAGAGAGAAAGAATGAAAGAAAGAGAGGTGAGAGAGAGAGAGAGAGAGAGAGAGAGAGAGTGAGAGAAAGAGTGAACAGAGAACCAGAAGAAGGAACTGAATTTTTTTTCTCTTTTACAGAGAGATCTTTCTCTTTCTCTCTCTCTCATCTTCTCTCAATCTTTCTCAAATGAAAGAAAAAGGACAAAGAGAGAGAGAGAAAAGAAATGAACCAGAAGAAGAGGAGGTGAGAGAGAGAAAAGAGAGAGAGAGGTGAGAAAGAGAGAGAGAGAAAAACGAGTGAAAAGAGAACCAGAAGAAGGAACTGAATTTTTTCCCTCTTACTTTTGAAATGTCTTTCTCTCTCTTCTTCTCTCAATCTTTCTCGCTCTTTAAGAAGCAAACAGAGAGAAAAGAATGAAAGAAAGAGGTGGATGGAGAGAGAGAGAGAGAGAGAGAAAGAGAGAGAGAGAGAGAAAACAAAGAGAAAAGAGAACCAGAAGAAGGAACTGAATTTTTTCCCTCTCTTAATGAACACTTTCTCTCTCTTTCTCTCTTAATTCTTTCTCGCTCTTTAAAAGAAAACAGATAAAGAGAAAGAATGAAAGAAAGAAGAGAGGAGAGAGGAGAGAGAGAGAAAAAGAGTGAAGAGAGAACCAGAAGAAGGAACTGAATTTTTTCCCTCTCTACTTTTATGTTGAAAAGAATTCTCTCTCATTCTCTCTCAATCTTTCTCGCTCTTTAAGAAGATGAAACAGAGAGAAAAGAATGAAAAGAAAGTAGAGAGAGAGAGAGAGAGAGAGAGAGAAGAGAGAGAAAAAAGAAAGAGGGACAGAGAACCAGAAGAAGGAACTGAATTTTTTTTTTTTCTAAACTTTTATACTGAAGGAAGGAGAAAATTTCTCTCAATCTTTTCTCGCTCTTTAAGAAGCAAACAGAGAGAAAAGAATGAAAGAAAGAGGGAGAGAGAATAGAGAGAGAGAGAGAGAGAGAGAGAAAGAGGAACAGAGAACCAGAAGAAGGAACTGGAATTTTTTCCCTCTCTTGTTTTTATGTTGTCTTTCTCTCTCTTTTCTCCCTCAATCTTTTTTCGCTCTTTAAGAAGCAAACAGAGAGAGAAAAATGAAAGAAAGAAAGAAAGAGAGAGAGAGAGAGAGAGAGAGAGAGAGAAAGAGGAACAGAGAACCAGAAGAAGGAACTGAATTTTTTCCCTCTCTTACTTTTATGTTTTCTTTCTCTCTTTTCTCTCTCAATCTTTCTCGCTCTTTTAAGAAGCAAACAGAGAGAGAAAGAATGAAAGAAAGAGAGGTGAGAGAGAGAGAGAGAGAGAGAGAGAGAGAGAAAGAAGAAAGAGGAACAGAGAACCAGAAGAAGGAACTGAATTTTTTCCCCTCTTAAAACAGAATGAAAGAAAGAGAAAAGAGATTGGAGAAACAGAGGAAAAGAATTCTCTCTCTTTAGAAAACAATCTTTCTCGCTCTTAAGAAGCAAACAGAGAGAAAAGAATGAAAAAAGAGAGGTGAGAGAGAGAGAGAGAGAGAGAGAGAGAAGAAAGAAAGAGTTAAGAAGGAAAAATTTTTTCCCCTCTTTACTTTTTGTTTGGGTCTAAATCTCTTTCTCTCAATCAAACTGCCTTTAAGAAGCAAAAGAGAGAGAAAGAATGAAAGAAAGAGAGGTGAGAGAGAGAGAGAGAGAGAGTGAGAGAAAAGAAAAACAGAGAACCAGAAGAAAAAACTGAATTTTTTCCCTCTCTACTTTTTATAAATTAAGTCTTTCTCTCTCTTTCTTCTCAATCTTTCTCGCTCTTAAGAAGCAAACAGAGAGAAAAGAATGAAAGAAAGAGAGGGAGAGAGAGAGAGAGAAAAGAGTGAACAGAGAACCAGAAGAAGGAACTGAATTTTTTTTTTTCTCTTACTTTTATGCTGTCTTTCTCTCTCTCATTCTTCTCAATATTTCTCAGCTCTTTAAGAAGAAACAGAGAGAAAAGAATGAAAGAAAGAGAGGTGAGAGAGAGAGAGAAGAGAAAGAGAGAAAAGAGAACCAGAAGAAGGAACTGAATTTTTTTTTCCCTCTCTTACTTTTATGAGATTTTTTCTCTCTTCATTCTCTCTCAATCTTTCTGAAAAAAGAAAGAAAACAGAGAGAAAAAGAATGAAAGAAAGAGAGGTGAGAGAGAGAGAGAGAGAGAGAGAAAGAGAACAGAGAACCAGAAGAAGGAACTGGATTTTTTTTCTCTTTAAAAAAGCTCTTAGAAGCAAACAGAGAGAAAAGAATGAAAGAAAGAGAGGGAGAGAGAGAGAAAAAGAGAGAACAGAGAACCAGAAGAAGGAATTGTTTTTTTCCCTCTCTTACTTTTATAAGAGAGGGAAAGAATTTTCTTCAATCTTTTCGCTCTTAAGAAGAAACAGAGAGAGAAAGAATGAAAGAAAGAGAGGTGAGAGAGAGAGAGAGAGAGAGAGAGAGAGAAAGAAAAGAGAAATAGAGAACCAGAAGAAGGAACTGAAATATTTTCCTCTACTTTTTTATGTTGTTGAATTTCTCTCTCTCTTTCTTCTCTCAATCTTTCTCGCTCTTTAAGAAGCAAACAGAGAGAAAGAATGAAAGAAAGAGAGGTGAGAGAGAGAGAGAGAGAGAGAGAGAGAGAAAGAGGAACAGAGAACCAGAAGAAGGAACTGAATTTTTTCCCTCTACTTTTATGTTGAAATCTTTTTCTCTTTTTTTCTCAATCTTTCTGCCTTAAGAAGCAAACAGAGAGAGAAAGAATGAAAAGAAAGAGAGGTGAGAGAGAGAGAGAGAGAGAGAGAGAGAGAGAGAAAGAGTGAACAGAGAACCAGAAGAAGGAACTGAATTTTTTCCTCTTACTTTTTAGGTTGTCTTTTCTCTCCTCTTCTCAAGATTTCTCGCTCTTTAAGAAGCAAACAGAGAGAGAAAGAATGAAAGAAAGAGAGGGGAGAGAGAGAGAGAGAAAAAGAGTGAACAGAGAACCAGAAGAAGGAACTGAATTTTTTTCCCTCTTACTTTTGAAACAACAGAGCCTTTAAGAAGAAACAGAGAGAGAAAGAATGAAAGAAAGAGAGGTGAGAGAGAGAGAGAGAGAAAGAGGAACAGAGAACCAGAAGAAGGAACTGAATTTTTTCCCCTCTCTTACTTTTTATGTTGTTGTTTCTTCTCTTTATCTCAATCTTTCTCTGCTCTTAAGAAGCAAACAGAGAGAAAAAGAATGAAAGAAAGAGAGGTGAGAGAGAGAGAGAGAGAGAAAAAGAAAACAGAGAACCAGAAGAAGGAACTGATTTTTTTTCCTCTTACTTTTATGTTGTTTTTCTTTCAAATCATTCTCTCTCAATCTTTCTCGCCTTTTAAGAAGCTAAAAAGAGAAAAAAAGAATGAAAGAAAGAGAGGGAGAGAGAGAGAAAAATGAATGAACAGAGAACCAGAAGAAGAACTGTTTTTTTCCCTCCTCTTACTTTTATGTTGTTTCTTTCTCTATTTCTTCTCAATCTTTCTCGCTCTTAAGAAGCAAACAGAGAGAAAGAAAGAAAGAAAGAAAGAGAGAGAGAGAGAGAGAGAGAGAGAGAGAGAAAAAACAGAGAACCAGAAGAAGGAACTGAATTTTTTTCCTCTCTTACTTTTTATGTTGTATTTTCTCTCTCTCTTTCTTTCTCTCAATCTTTTCTGCCTTTAAGAAGCAAAACAGAGAGAGAAAAGAATGAAAGAAAGAGAGGTGAGAGAGAGAGAGAATGAGAGAAGAGGAGAAAAAGAGTAACAGAGAACCAGAAGAAGGAACTGAATTTTTTTCCCTCTCTTACTTTTATGCTGTCTTTCTCTCTCTCTTTCTCTCTCAATCTTTCTCGCTCTTTAAGAAGCAAACAGAGAGAGAAAGAATGAAAGAAAGAGAGGGGAGAGAGAGAGAGAGAAAGAGTGAACAGAGAACCAGAAGAAGGAACTGAATTTTTTTCCCTCTTACTTTTATAAGAAAAGTCTTCTCTCATTCTTCTCTCAATTTTTCTCTTTAAGAAGCAAAATAGAGAGAGAAAGAAATGAAAGAAAGAGAGGAGAGAGAGAGAGAGAGAGAAAGAGGAACAGAGAACCAGAAGAAGGAACTGAATTTTTTTTCCCTCTTACTTTTTTATGTCTGTTTTCTCTCTTCTAATCTTTCTCGCAAAGAAGCAAACAGAGAGAAAAAGAATGAAAGAAAGAGAGGAGAGAGAGAGAGAGAGAGAGAGAGAGAAAGAGAGAGAGAGAGAAAGAGGAACAGAGAACCAGAAGAAGGAACTGAATTTTTTCCCTCTCTTACTTTTTATGTTGTTTTTCTCTCTCTCTCTCTCTCAATCTTTGCCTTTTGGAAGCAAACAGAGAAAAAAAAGAAAAAAAGAAAGAGGGAGAGAGAGAGAGAGAAAGAAAGAACAGAGAACCAGAAGAAGGAACTGAATTTTTTCCCTCTTTATTTTTATGTTGCTCTTTCATCTCATTTTCTCTCAATCTTTCTCTCGCTCTTAAGAAGCAAAATAGAGAGAAAGAATGAAAGAAAGAGAGGTGAGAGAGAGAGAGAGAGAGAGAGAGAGAGAGAGAGAGAGAAAGAAAGAGGAACAGAGAACCAGAAGAAGGAACTGAATTTTTTCCTCTCTTAAGTTTTAAGAAGCAAAACAGAGAGAGAAAGAATGAAAGAAAGAGGAAGGGAGAGAGAGAGAGAGAGAGAGAGAGAGAGAAAAGAGTGAACAGAGAACCAGAAGAAGGAACTGAATTTTTTCCCTCTTACTTTTTATGTTGTCTTTCTTCTCTCTCTTTTCTCTCAATCTTTCTCGCTCTTAAGAAGCAAACAGAGAGAGAAAGAATGAAAGAAAGAGAGGAGAGAGAGAGAGAGAGAGAGAGAGAGAGAAAGAGTGAACAGAGAACCAGAAGAAGGAACTGAATTTTTTCCTCTCTTACTTTTTATGCTGAATTTTTCTCTCTTTTCTCTCAATCTTTCTCGCTCTTTAAGAAGCAAAAGAGAGAGAAAGAATGAAAGAAAGAGAGGTGAGAGAGAGAGAGAGAGAGAGAGAGAGAGAGAGAGAGAAAGAGAAACAGAGAACCAGAAGAAGGAACTGAATATTTTCCTCTCTTACTTTTATGGTATCTTTTCTCTCTCTCTCATCTCTCAATCTTTCTTTATCTTAAGAAGGCAAACAGAGAGAGAAAGAATGAATGAAAGAGAGGTGAGAGAGAGAGAGAGAGAGAGAGGAGAAAAGAGTGAACAGAGAACCAGAAGAAGGAACTGAATTTTTTTCCTCTCTTACTTTTATGTTGTTTTTCTCTTCTTTCTCTCTTCAATAAGAGGTCTCGCTTTTAAGAAGCAAACAGAGAGAGAAAGAATGAAAGAAAGAGAAAGAGAGAGAGAGAGAGAGAGAGTGAGAGAAAGAGTGAAATAGAGAACCAGAAGAAGGAACTGAATTTTTTTCCCCTCTCTTACTTTTTATGCTGCTCTTTTCTCTCTTTTTCTTCAATCTTTCTACTCTTAAGAAGCAAAAAAGAGAGAAAAAGAATGAAAGAAAGAGGGGGAGAGAGAGAGAGAGAAAGAGGAACAGAGAACCAGAAGAAGGAACTGAATTTTTTTTAAATCTTACTTTTATGCTGTTCTTTCTCTCTCTTTCTTCTCTCAATATTTCTCGCTCTTAAGAAGCAAACAGAGAGAGAAAGAATGAAAGAAAGAGAGGTTTGAGAGAGAGAGAGAGAGAAAGAGTGAACAGAAACAAAGAAGGAACTGAATTTTTTTCCCTCTCTTACATGTTTTAAAATTCTTTTCTTACTCAATCTTTCTCGCTTTTTAAGAAGCAAACAGAGAGAAAAGAATGAAAGAAAGAGGGTGAGAGAGAGAGAGAGAGAAAGAGGAACAGAGAACCAGAAGAAGGAACTGGATTTTTTTTCTCTTACTTTTTTGTCATTCTCTCTCTCTCATTCTCTTCTCAAAGGATCAAAGAAAAACAGAAAAAAGAAAAAAAGAATGAAAGAAAGAGAGGAGAGAGAGAGAGAGAAAGAGAACAGAGAACCAGAAGAAGGAACTGAATTTTTTCCTCTCTTACTTTTATGTTGTTCTTTCTCTCTTTCTTCTCAAATCTTTCTCGCTCTTAAGAAGCAAACAGAGAGAGAAAGAATGAAAGAAAGAGAGGTGAGAGAGAGAGAGAAGAGAGAGAGAGAGAGAGAAAGAGTGAACAGAAACCAGAAGAAGGAACTGAATATTTTCCCTCTTTACTTTTTAAAAAGAAGAAGCAAACAGAGAGAGAGAAAGAAGAGAGGTGAGAGAGAGAGAGAGAGAGAGTGAGAGAGGAGAGAAAGAGGAACAGAGAACCAGAAGAAGGAACTGAATTTTTTTTCCCTCTCTCTTTACTTTTTATGCTGTCTTTCTCTCTCTTTTTTCTCAATCTTTCTCCATCTTTAAGAAGCAAACAGAGAGAGAAAGAAAGAAAGAGAGAGAGGAGAGAGAGAGAGAGAGAGAGAGAGAGAGAGAGAGAAAGAAGTGAACAGAAACCAGAAGAAGGAACTGAATTTTTTCCTCTCTTACTTTTTATGCTGTCTTTCTCTTCTTTTTCAATCAATCTTTCGCTCTTAAGAAGCAAACAGAGAGAGAAAGAATGAAAGAAAGAGAGGGGAGAGAGAGAGAGAAAAGAGGAACAGAGAACCAGAAGAAGGAACTGAATTTTTTTCCTCTCTTACTTTTTTTATGTTGTCTTTTCTCTCTCATTCTTCTCTCAATCTTTCTCGCTCTTTAAGAAGCAAACAGAGAGAGAAAGAATGAAAAGAAAGAGAGGTGAGAGAGAGAGAGAGAGAGAAAGAGGAACAGAGAACCAGAAGAAGGAACTGAATTTTTTCCTCTCTTACTTTTATGTTGTTCTTTCTCTCTCTTTCTTTTCTCTCAATCTTTCTCGCTCTTTTAAGAAACAGAGAGAAAAGAATGAAAGAAAGAGAGGTGAGAGAGAGAGAGAGAGAAAGAGAACAGAGAACCAGAAGAAGGAACTGATTTTTTTTGATCTCTCTAAATTTATAATTTGTCTTTCTCTCTCTCATTCTCTCTCAAATCTTTTTTTGCTCTTTTAAGAAGCAAACAGAGAGAAAAGAATGAAAGAAAGAGAGGGAGAGAGAGAGAGAAAGAGGAACAGAGAGAACCAGAAGAAGGAACTGAATTTTTCCTCTCTTACTTTTATAAACTGTCTTTTCTCTCTCTCTTCTTTCTTCTCAATCTTTTCTGCTCTTAAGAAGCAAACAGAGAGAAAGAATGAAAAGAAAGAGAGAGTGAGAGAGAGAGAGAGAGAGAGAGAGAGAGAGAGAAAAGAAAGAGTGAACAGAGAACCAGAAGAAGGAACTGAATTTTTTTTCCTCTTACTTTTATATTGTCTTTTCTCCTTTTTATCAATCTTTCTCGCTCTTTTTTAAGAAGCAAACAGAGAGAGAAAGAATGAAAGAAAGAGAGGGGAGAGAGAGAGTGAGAGAGAGAGAGAGAGAGAAAAGAGGAACAGAGAACCAGAAGAAGGAACTGAATTTTTTCCCTCTTTACTTTTTATGCTGTCTTTTTCTCTTTCTCTCATTCTTTCAATCTTTTCGCTCTTAAGAAGCAAACAGAGAGAGAAAGAATGAAAGAAAGAGAGGTGTGAGAGAGAGAGAGAGAGAGAGAGAGAGGGGAGAGAGAGAGGCGAGAGAGAGAGAGAGAGAAAGAGTGAACAGAATACCAGAAGAAGGAACTGAATTTTTTTCCCTCTCTTACTTTTTATGTTGTCCTTATCTCTCTTCTTCCTGAATATTTCTCGCTCTTTAAGAAACAAACAGAGAGAAAAGAATGAAAGAAAGAGAGGAGAGAGAGAGAGAGAGAGAGAGAGAGAGAGAGAGTGAAGAACCAGAAGAAGAAGAACTGATTTTTTCCCTCTCTCTTACTTTTATGTTGTCTTTCTCTCTCTCATTCTTTCTCAATGTTTCTCGCTCTTTAAGAAGCAAACAGAGAGAGAAAGAATGAAAGAAAGAGAGGTGTGTGAGAGAGAGAGAGAGAGAGGGGAGAGAGAGAGGCGAGAGAGAGAGAGAGAGAAAGAGTGAACAGAGAACCAGAAGAAGGAACTGAATTTTTTTCCCTCTCTTACTTTTATGCTGTCTTTCTCTCTCTCTCATTCTCTCTCAATCTTTCTCGCTCTTTAAGAAGCAAACAGAGAGAGAAAGAATGAAAGAAAGAGAGGTGAGAGAGAGAGAGAGAGAAAGAGTGAACAGAGAACCAGAAGAAGGAACTGTATTTTTTTTCCTCTTTACTTTTATGTTGTCCTTTCTCTCTCCTCATTCTCTCTCAATCTTTCTCGCTCTTTAAGAAGCAAACAGAGAGAGAAAGAATGAAAGAAAGAGAGGTGAGAGAGAGAGAGAGAGAGAAAGAGTGAACAGAGAACCAGAAGAAGGAACTGAATTTTTTTCCCTCTCTTACTTTTATGCTGTCTTTCTCTCTCTCTTTCTCTCTCAATCTTTCTCGCTCTTTAAGAAGCAAACAGAGAGAGAAAGAATGAAAGAAAGAGAGGGAGAGAGAGAGAGAGAAAGAGTGAACAGAGAACCAGAAGAAGGAACTGAATTTTTTTCCTCTCTTACTTTTTATGTTGTCTTTCTCTCTCTTTTTCTTCAAATCTTTCTCGCTCTTAAGAAAAAACAGAGAGAGAAAGAATGAAAGAAAGAGAGGGGAGAGTGAGAGAGAGAGAGAGAAAGAGTGAACAGAGAACCAGAAGAAGGAACTGAATTTTTTTCCCTCTCTTACTTTTATGCTGTCTTTTCACTGTCTCTCTCTCTTTTTCTCTCTCTCTCCCGCTCTTTAAGAAGAAAGAAAGAAAGAAAGAAAGAAAGAAAGAGGTGGGTGAGAGAGGGTTAGAAAGGAGAGAATGATCTAGATAATCGAGGATTGAATTAATAGAAGCTTTTCCGCCTTTAACTTTGAACGTTTGATGCCTGGCCGGTAATCAGAGATGTCTATCAGGGGTAGACAACGTAATCAATCAGCTTTGTATTATGACTCCCTAAGACCGAAAACAAGACTTTATACACGACTTGATACGCTTCGAATTACCCTAGAAGATCTACCTGACCGACAAAGCGTATTGGGTCGTTTGCATACGCGTATATATGAGAGCAAATATGCGAGAATTAAAAACGCGGACACCTGTCTCATGGCTGGAGTAGTCGCGTATTTTGCTCCTTTACAGAAAATCAAGACACCTAGGGTTGGGCTGCGTTACTTCATTGATAAAAAGTTACAATTATACCGCCCATGAAATCGATGAACGTTGGTCAACATGGATTTATCTGCAGCTACACAGGTCCAACATGTGCCGGTAGTGTAACAGGAATGCAAAAAGAAAAATCTGCGAACAGGGTTCGATTTCCGGCTGTGTACTTTACGGTCACTTTCGCGAAAGTGATCGTAAAGAAAGCTGTGAATCCATCGATTGTTACCCCTTAATTATACAGGTTAAATCTATGTTGCGTTTCGTGTTCAGCCCGTCTTAATCCAACGCCACTTCATAATTTGTATCAACGAAAGACGAAGGTATATTTTTTTATTGCTTATCTTTGTTTGTCTTCTCATTTCACCACGTGCGGCCTAGCCTGTCTAAGGTATCTGGGTGCGAAAAGCGCGTTTTTTTTTTTATATTCCAAACTAACACACAGGCAATCCATCACAGTCAGAATTCCACGCCCACAAGGTATTCTGACCAATCGCTCACCATCCTGGGCCAACTTTTACATTCTGTAACAAGTAGCAGAAGTAGCAACCAGTCTAGGAGAAAGAAAACTAAGATTTCTTAAATTATACGAACGAGTTTACATTATTTGGACTATTGTTCTCAATTTGTCGCCATATTTATTACAACGTTTCGGCCTTTCAATATCTGTCTATATTTCTGAGATGAGGTATTATGTACACTATTTACATTATTCGGACTATTGTCCTCATCTTTGTCGCCATATTTATTACAAAGTTTCGGCCTTTCAGTATCTGTCTATATTTCTGAGATAAGGTATTATGTACATTATTTACATAATTCGGACTATTGTCCTCATCTTTGTCGCCAGAATCACGTCACAAAAGATCGAAGAACTTGGTTGGGAGAAAATTCCTCATCCACCTTATTCTCCCGATCTTGCTCCTTCAGACTACCATTTGTTTCATAGCTTACAGAATCATTTGGAAGAAACAGCTTTTGTAACACAGGAAGAGTTTAAAACTGACATTTGTGAGTTCTTCGAATCAAAGCCAAAAGAATTTTACAGTAATGGAATTAGTAAACTTGTTAATAGATGGAAGGAAAACATAGATAATCAGGGAAAATACACTGTTGATTGAATCTGTAATTAAATGTAACATTTGGTCACTTGTTTTCTTTATTCAAAATTCGGACAGAACTTATGGGATGACCTGATATATATATCATAATTAAGTAATTCATCGAGTCTAGAAGAAACCTCAACAGAATGCAGGAAGCACTGGATGGCCGTTTCGTCCTATATTTGGGCCTCATCAGCATTGCGCATCCACTACCGAGAATTGAAACCATGACAGTTACGTTAGGAAAACCTCATACCAACGGGCCTCGGTGTCGAAGAGGTAACGAATTAGACTCGATATAGCCTGATATCGTAACTGCTTGATATCGTTTGCCTGATAGCGTATGATTATCTCAAATCATCCTAATAATTTCTATCACTTGTATATCTTTGCTTGAACCGGCTTCTAATGCTCTGGATGGAATGACTTGGGGATAATAGTCGTGGCTCGTGGGGGCACAGTCCTATGGGCAAGGGAAACTCGGATGAGTTCGACCACGGAATATGTGATCTAGCGGCGCTATATCGAGTCTAATTCGCTACCTCTTCGTCACTGAGACCCGTTGGTACCCAGAGAGAGAGAGAGAGAGAGAGAGAGAGAGAGAGAGAGAGAGATGGGGTGAGAAAAAAATTTAACAGCTCGGAGCTTTCAAATTAACCCAATCTTGCTAGACTGTCGACAATCATGTTTTAGACAGCAGATATATATATATATATATATATATATATATATATATATATATATATGGAGTCTACAATAGTATAAACTAGGAGTTCTGGCGAAGTTATGAAACAAAAGTGACTCCCACCCACAATTAATAGCCACTTCATTGTTCATCAAATATTGCAAGTAGAGTCGATATATTGTGTTACAAATAGAAAACCAGGTTACATCAAAAATTAGCTCCCAAAAGTCTTAAGTAGGGCCCCACTTTCAAAAGTACCCTAGTTAAGTGACTCTACAAATACTTATGTTTTTTTTATCGTAAAGAAATGAATCTGCAAAAATAGGTCATCTGTTTATGGCAGTTTTTAACCAATGTTCCCTCAACACAAGAGCCAACAGCGACTCAAGTTAGAGGCTGAACTCTATGAGTGTTGTATGAGTGTTTGCAAATACCTCGCTCCGGAGAGTTGAAAGTAGACTTCTTTTTTTTTGTTCCTGCATCTCTCTATTCGCAAATACCTCGCTCCGGAGAGTTGAGAGGTGACTTGGATTGGGAACTGGGTAAGCAGGGTCTGGAACCCGGGAGCAAATATTGAGCGTCTTTCGGTTACTGATACAAAATGTGGGGTGACAAACCTTAATCCCTACATTTCATCTTCTTTAAAATTCTAAACCTATTAATTCCCCCTCTCCTAGTTCTCCACTGTCTTAATCAGGTATTGAAGCCACACTATTTGGGTCTTGTCAATGGATCTAACCAACACCTTTATCCACTTTGCAATTTCTCCTTGAGAGTTGTGTGTTCAAATCCTGGATGTGAGTTCAATACTTGAATTAACAGGAGATAACTGATAACTGACATCCATTAGACATGGCACGTGGAACTAGAACAATCTACCCCAGTGAATGAAATAAAGGGTTTAGTTAGACATTCCAACCACCTGAAGAAGGCCGGAGCATACAACGGCCGAAACGTTGTAATAAATATGGCGACAAAGATGAGGACAATAGTCTGAATAATGTAAATAGTGTACATAATACCTAATCTCAGAAATATAGACTGATACTGAAAGGCCGAAACGTTGTAATAAATATGGCGACAAACATGAGGACAATAGTCTGAATAATGTAAATAATGTATATAATACCTCATCTCAGAAATATAGACAGATACTGAAAGGCCGAAACGTTGTAATAAATCTGGACAAAAGATGAGGACAGAACTCCGAATAATGTAAATAATGTATATAATACCTCATCTCAGAAATATAGACTGATACTGAAAGGCCGAAACATTGTAATAAATATGGCGACAAAGATGAGGACAATAGTCCGAATAATGTAATAATAATGTAAATAATACCTCATCTCAGAAATATAGACAGATATATACAAATCTCCTTAGAAAAATCCAGAAAGTCAGTTGGAGATCCCATGCAATGCATAACTCAATTTACGGTGAATTGAGACCAATCTCCTTTGAAGCGTATTCTCGCGAAATTTGACTTTCCCCAGACACCATAACTCGGGACTCCTGGTTGAATATTGTGGTTCTAGGGACAGCGGTGCAGAGCCGAATAATGTGGAAAGGAGTCAATGGAGTTTCGACCAACCACAGAGAGGTCGAAGGATGTTGATGATGATGAAGATATTTTTGTAGATTGTAGGTGTTGCGTTTTGATTCTCACGAATACGCATTAATTTATTGAGTGGACAGCAATAAAATTCAAATGAATTAGGCGGTTGAAATAGGGTTCTATCGAAGGAAACAGAGAATACTATGAATGAAGTCTAACGAAAATGAAAACAAAAAGAACTCAGAATCGGTAAGAGGCAGTTGAAATTTTTAGGACTCATAATGAGGAAGAAGGGCTTGGAAAATTTGATACTCACAAGACATATCGCAGGAAAATGGGATGTAACAGGCCACCTACCTGACCAACTTACGTGAATAGTTGGCAGAATGAGGGGTGGGAGGGATGGTAAACAGACATTCATTACTAAGAGTTTTCACGAGATAGAAGATTGTGGAGGGCCATAATCCTCTACGTCTTAAAGAGACACCCGCAGATAGAAGAAAATAGGTAAAATCAGAAAGAGGCTGTTGTAATTTCTAGGACCCATAATAAGGAAGAAATGCTTGGAAAATTTGATACTCACAGGACATACCGAAGATAAGAGAGACAGGGGAAACGACGAGTAATCTACCTGAGGAGCTTGGATGGCAGAACAAGCTGGGATCACAAACAGAGAAGTTCACAAGACCTGCTCTGTAATATTAGTGTCCCTATATGACAGGGAAGGCTGGAATATTTCCGCAGAGACGAAGAGAAGACTTCAGGTATCAGAGCTGTGACTCTACAGAAGGATGCTGAGAATGTCATGGACGGAGAAGCTGATAAACGGAAACTAAAGGGACAAATACTTTTTTTTTTTAATCAATTCACCCCAAGCAATGTGATAACGCCACTAAGATGCAAGTGGGCAACTGGAACGGAAGGAGAAGGAAAAGCCTTTAGAAGCAACCGGAAACACAATCCTAAAGAGGAAACAAGAAATAAACATCTACTCCTAAAATAAACAAAAAAAAAAAAAAAAAAAAGGGAAGAGTGTGAACCGGGCGATAGGCGACCCTATTTAATTCAATCGAGGATAAAAAAAAGAGTAAATAATATTTCAGAGCTTAGGTGGAGACGTTAAAAGTATAGCGTTGAAGCAAACTTCAGAAGGAAATAGAAAACAAATACTAAACAAAGGATAATCCTACACCTGCTCAAAAGACCGAGGAGGAGTGTAAACCGGGCAATAGGAAAATCTATTTACTCCTATATCAGTCACTTTAGTGCCATAAGTGAAACACGCTTAAGTGATCAACGATACATTGCTGACGAACCAAGGCTAAAGAACCCATTCTATCCTGCTATTTAACCTATAGCTTGTGGGAGAAGAAATGTATTCATACCTTTCTCAAGGGTATTTGTGCGTAAGTGAATGTAACGAACTCGACTATAATTCGAACTCTGTTCTCCGAGTTCTCACTCAGAGCCGAGATCCATTACACCACGACGCACATCCTCTCCTATAAATAGTTTCAATGCCCCTTAAAGAACTATATTCCTAATCAAACCGAATTCATAAATAATTACATCGGTCACACGACAACATGCCTATCCAGACGCCTTACGTTACATCTATCTGACCACAGCTCTATTAGGACACATTTAAACACACACATAAACTTACCAGATTCCATCCGAAACAGACTAGTAGAAAATACAAACTTAATAACCTCATCCACATGTAAAAAAATATTAAAAATAATGGCAGCCTTAATAATAAAAAAGAAAAAAACCAACACTTAATAATATTAACTACGAACACGGCCACAGTGCGCTGACTGTGTTCGGAATTTAAAACATCCCTATAATTCTAAAAACATACACACAACCCATACACCCAATTAAAAAGCAAAAATAAAAACGTCCTAATGATAATGGCTAAAAGTATAGCCGAAAGTGCTCGGAATTACAGAGCATTTGGACAGTTTCTATACACTCTGTGTGGTGAAAGGAAAACACTTGTTCGAACATAAGAAAAATTAAATAAAAAGCTTCATCGCAGTATTCTGTCTGTCATCTTTAATGAAACATGTCTAAATGAAGGATTGCTGCCTAAATACAAAATTACATCTATCTATCTATCTATCTATCTATCTATCTATCTATCTATGTAGTTTCAAACTTTAATAAATGGAACTTACTATTGCAGATGCCAAGAAATCTTAAGTTAAATTTTTATGCCGTGCCAAATTTACTGAATTTATTATAAACATGCAGTCTGAAGTTATTATGCAGATTAAACTAGAATGCCAATGGGCAGACGAAAACAACGACTGACTTATCTAATTAGATTGTACAAATGGATGGCAGGACAGAGAGTAGGAGTGATAGTAATACAGGGAAACATTAGTCAGAGCTACCCGTCCTGGGTATGACAATAAATTACATCCGGGTCCTGGGTATGACAATAAACTACATCCATGTCTTGGGTATGACAATAAACTACATCCGCGTCCTGGGGAAGACAATAAACTACATCAGAGTCCTGGGTAAGACGATAAACTACATCCGCATCTTCGGTAAGACGATAAACTACATCCAACAGCAAGGCCTCTGATCAGGAGGCTTTGAGGAGCGTGGAACCACCTCTTAATTGCTGGTGTTCCCAGGTTCACCCTGACCTGGGGTGGTAGCACCTGTTAGGGTTTCAGCTATGGGCAAATAGTTGACCACCGAACTGGGGTCAAAATATTATAAAATTGTAAGAATAAGTTTTAGTACCAGCAATGAATTTTTGAAAAACAATTACCTGCAATATATTTTTGAAAAAAAAAAAATTACCAGCAATAACAAAACTTGTCGGCATTAAATAACTCATTGAGGTTGATATAGCGTAAAACAAACCAAACCAAAGCGTCAGAACTACAAAGGATAAGAAATAACAGAGTCCTCAAGGGACACAGCGCAAAGAAGAAAAAGGTGATCGTTTTAAAATTACACTCCCGATATGAAATTGGATAAAGAAACGTCGAGAATCCAGACTTTAATAGCAGGCCTTGTGTGTCTTTCTTTCTTCTTGCGTTCTATCATGTTATCATGTTATTTTGTTGTGTACGTCCTAATTCGTGTCAACGATGACACTCGTTAAGACACCAGCATATAATGAAGGTTTCACGATGACCGTCCAGATAACACCCCAACCCAGGCCAGCTTTGTCTCTTTTCTTACCCTCTTCGTCCGTGTCACACGAGAAGGGAGCTAGTTACGCCCCGAAAAGCACGTTTTGTTAGCGGAGGGACATTAAAAAATAAATGCTTAATGTCGTGCACGTGCAGTGACCTGGAACCAAGAAAGAAAATGGCGGCTGTGAAACTGAGGACGAGTACAGAAGAAGAAGAAGAAGAAGAAGAAGAGGAGGAGGGAGATATAAAGACAAGTAAATGACAATGATAATAGACGGACACGAAGAAGAAGAAGAAGAAGAAGAAGAAGAAGAAGAAGAAGAAGAAGAACAGGAGGAGGAGGGAGTTATAAAGACAAGTAAATGACAATGATAATAGACGGACACAAAGAAGAAGAAGAAGAAGAAGAAGAAGAAGAAGAAGAATTATATGATAAAAGTCGGATAAGAAGAAGAAGAAGGAGGAGGAGGAGAAGGAGAAATAAAAGAAGAAGAAACATATATTAACAATGATAACAACAGACGGACATGAAGAAGAAGAATTATATGATAAAAGTCGGATATGAAGAAAAAGAAGAAGAAGAAGTAGGAGGAGGAGGAGAAGAAGAAAAAGAAGAAGAAATAAAAGAAGAAGAAACATACATTAACAATGATGAAAGACGGACATGAAGAAGAAAAGGATGTTGAAGAATAAGAAAAAGAAGAAGAAAAGAAGGAGAAGAATTATATGATATTAACGATGATAAAAGTCGAAGAAGAAGAAGAAGAAGACGACGAAGAAGAAGACGACGAAGAAGAAGACGACGAGAACGAAGAAGAAGAAAACGAAGAAGAAATATATTAACAATGGTAAAAGACGGACATGAAAAAAAGAAGGAGAAGAAGAAGAAGAAAAAGAAGATGAAGTAGAGGAAGAAGATGAAAAGAAGAAGAATTATATGATATTAACGATGATAAAAGTCGTATATGAAGAAGAAGACGAAAAAGACGACGAAGAAAAAGACGACGAGAACGAAGAAGAAGAAAACGAAGAAGAAATATATTAACAATGGTAAAAGACGGACATGAAAAAAAAGAAGGAGAAGAAGAAGATGAAGTAGAGGAAGAAGATGAAAAGAAGAAGAATTATATGATATTAACATTGATAAAAGTCAAAGAAGAAGAAGAAGAAAAAGAAGAAGAAGAAAAAATATATATTAACAAGGATAAAAGACGGACATGAAGAAGAAGAATAATGATTGGAGGAAGAACAGTAAAAAAGTGAATCCAAGGGAAAGAAGAAGTGAGAGAATATGAAAGAGAGAGAGAGAGAGAGAGAGAAAAGAAGAAAGGTGAAAAGAAGAAAAGTAACAAGTTAGAAGAAGAAGAAGAAGAAAAAGAATTGTATGATATTAACAATGCTAAAAGTCGGATATGAAGAAGATGACGAAGAAGAAGACGAAGACAACAACAAAGAAAAAGAAAAAAAACGAAGAAGAAACATATTAACAATGGTAAAAGACGGACATGAAGAAGAAGAAGAAGAAGAAGAAGAAGAAGAAAAAAAAGAAGATTCATTGGCGGAAGAATAGTAAAAAAAAGTATATCGTTGCCATAATGCAGATATCCGCAAACCAACGTCCGCGGGTCACATGCGGCTTGTTTGCCTTTCTGAATTGGACGAGGAAAATAACGTTTATTAAAATGTTGTTTACTACGTTTCGGGCTCACTTGTTCACTCACATTGTCTCTGACATAAATACATACATAAAAAATGAATAAGTACAATGTTTCTTGATTTTTTTTTTAACTTGAAGGTAATGTTTTCAACATTTTAAACGATTGGTGATGCGTGTAAATATTTACTTTAAAAACAGGACGCTTAAAATATTTTTTTTTCTCTGGAGAAGAAATATATTTTTTATTTTAAGAATTTTTTTTTTCGAATGAATAAATAGGAAACAAATCACATTCAACGGTGTGTGGTAACCGCTGACGTCTGCGGTAATATTTTACCGAAACTTCTTTTTTTAGTTGTTGAGAAATCTTTTCCCCCAAAACAGTCAACCTTTCACCGTTTCTATGGTAGGCGCTCATGCAATGAAAATGCTTGAGGCATCTTCAACGAAAAATGACCATGAAACTTTTTTAGTAGCGTGACCCGCCTTATGATGATCCATATCTCATGCATTCCACTGGTCGGAAAAGGTTTCTCCGTGTCTGCCATAATAGCATACTTTGCTTGTTCACTTCTGGATTCCGTCTAGTGAATGTCAGCCGAATCGATTGACAGCTCGATTTCTTTGTTTAACGAGACATCAACTTCTTATGGGTTATTTAATGCCGAAATTCAATTTCTAAAGTGATGGATTTTTATTTATTAGCCCGACAGATTTTATTACTCAAACGTTATTTATACTGGATGCTCATATCTGAGTAGACTTATTAAACAGTTATAATTTATTATTAAACGCGAATGTCAGTGTGTCAATCTTTTTTAACTTTACTCCGAGAGGCCGTAGCCCAGCATATCATGCTATTTTGGAATTAGGCCGACTCCGTGGGAAAATTAAAAACATTTCGGGTCGGATCCAGACCCGTAATCCTGAAATTTTGGATTCCCAAGTTTTCATTACTGCAATTGTTTTCGTTGATTTTTTAAGTGATTTTTCCAACGAATTTTCTTTTTGTACGATAGCAATTTTTATAACTTGGAAATAAATTTGGGAATAATTGAAATTAATTGCAAAATCCAGCGAAAGTCACCATGAAATAAAAATAATTGTTTGTACCGGAAGTAAGGACCTACGAACATTAAATTGTCTTGGCGGCAGAAGAATTATCGCTGAACTTTTAAAAGGTAAGCTTAAATATTAATGCAATACTTAAATGCAGCAATCAGTTTTGAGTTCTTCTGTAGTTTAGTTGCCTATTGCATACGGAAGCAGTATGCTTTGCAAAAAGAAACCTCCGCCAACAGAGAACCAGTTTGCAATCAAAAGAGCCAAGGCTGCAACGAGGAAAAGAAAGTCCTGTGCAAATGAAAATTCACATCAAACGGCAGCCATGAGCGCTTATAATGCTGAAAACATGCAAAGACTTAGGGACTCTCAAACTCCTGAACAAGCCGAAGGCCCACTCAAGAACCCTCCGCAAGGGATTGCTTAAATGCCGTCCGATAGGGCGTCTTTTAAGCTAGTAAATCATAAAGTCTGTCGGATTAATAAATAAAAATTCAATCGTTTCTTTAAAGGAGATGTTTATTATAAAAAAATTATATAAAAGTAATGTAAAATAATTAAAAAGTGAATATAATATAATAAAAAATAAGACAATAAACGCAATTTGTTTGCTTGAGGGGAAAATATAAAACAATATACAGTGTGTCTATAAAGTTCGTGTGCACTTTAAAAAATTTATAACTTTATTTGTATTTGCGATAGAAATAATTTGCAAAAAGGATTAGAAAGAAGAAAAATCTATATTTTTTTAAGGTTTTATTGAAATTTTATTTAAGTTTCCACATGTCCTCCATCATTAGCAATAGAAAGGGTAATACGATTTTGCAGTTCACGGAAAGCATTTGCCAACTGATTTACAGTAATGCCTGAAATCACATTAGTTATTTTAGCTATACTTAAAACTAGATACATTAAACTTTATAACATTTTTTACAGATTATTTCTATCGCAAACACAAATAAAGTAATAAATTTTTTAAAGTGCACACGAACTTTATGGACAACCTGTATAAAAAATATAAATTAAATGATTAATGAAAAAGAGAAAAACATAAATAAACGAGGTTTGTTAATTAGACGTGTTTTTTTTAAAGAGTATAAAAATAATTAACAGAACGGTAGACGAGTAATAATAATAATAATAATAATAATAATAATAATAATAATAATAGTAATAAATTTGATGTGTAACATTTGTTCTTTAAATTTTCTAAAAGTAGAATGCTCCTCCGCTAAAGAAAAAAAAATCGAAATAAAGTCGGTCAAAGGCGAACGGTTTGTTACTTGCAGGATTTGATTATCAAAGTTCAAAAATAGATACATTTTGAGTTGGACAATCCAAACATTTTCTAAAAAAAGAGCATACCATGATGAAAAAAAAGGCCCCAAACTTGATAAAAACAAAGATTTTTGTCGTCAAAATGTTTATGTTATTATTAAGAGGAAAAAAAAAAAGTATTTTTTGTTTATTTTATTATTTTTTTTTTAATCCTTTCTGGCACGTTCGAAAATTTGGTTAAAAACCATGTTTTCTTGGCGTCATCGGATGAGCCAAAGATTAGATTTTTTTTTTTTTTGGCATTAAAAACACGTTGATTTGGAAATTCTTTCAAAAATCAAATAATGGACGGATTTTAATTAAATTTTCAGGACTTATTAACAAATGAATACAATTATTTGTGAATTTTTTTTAAGAAAATATTGGCAAAAATATATTTTTTATTTATATCTGTCGGACTTATTTAATTTCATGAAATTTCAAGAAATTAAAATTCTAGCCTCTTTATGCTTATATTAGTTAAAAGCAGAAGTCCTTGGAGAATTTAATTCATCAATTTGTTTTTGTCAAGCAGAAACACCATTTATCGAAAATCTGCTCTGAATTGTAAAATAAAAATGCCAAAAAAAGTAATAATAATAATAATGAGATGATTTAATTAGAAAAGGTTTTAAGGGTTTTTTTTTTTAAATAACATATATATTAAGGATAAAGGCGTTGGTTAGATCCAGTGACAGAACCCAAAGATTTGTGAGTTCAATACCTGGCAGTGGAGAACTTGGAAAGGGGAATTATCAGAAGATAACTGATAACTGACATCCATTAGACATGGCACGTGGAACTAGAACAGTCTACCCCAGTGAGCGAAATAAAGGGTTCAGTTCGGCATCTCACTCACCTGAAGAAGGCCGGAGCGTACATCGGCTGGAACGTTGTGATAAATATGGCAACAAAGATGAGGACAATAGTCCGAATAATGTAAATAGCGTGCATAATAACTCAGAAATACTGACAGATACTTAAGAATATTATTGTTAAAAAAAATAATTGATGAATAATGAATTTTTACAAGAGTTGTTTTCATTTCTTTGAAATTTAATTAGAAAAATTTATTAAGTTTTGAATCTTTTAAAATTCTGTATTATTTTCAGCCTTTTAGATAATGTTATTATTAAGTGGAAACCATATTTATTAATCATAAATAGAAACGATTTTTTGTCTGTTTATAAACGTGCGGATTTTTGTAAGTACGGGCGAACATACAAGATTAAATCAGGAAAAAAAAAAAAGAAATAAAAGCGATAATTATAGTAAATTTGCAGCCAAAATTTCTAAAATTCAGTAAAACATTACATTATGGAGGATATTTTCCTAAACTTTTAAGATTACTGTGTACTTAAAAATATATATAAAAATGGCGCTCACGTAATTTTCTTCAATTATTTTTTACAGATAAAGTCTCCGTAGAACGGCATTAAGTTTGTCGCCATGCTGTCAGCACTTCGAAACAGCTACTATTGGCTTAAAAAAAATGAATTTCTGCAATATTTTTTTAAGTTAAATTAAATAATATTTGTTTCGAATTATAACTTTAAATCTGATAATATTCCCCAAATATAGTTTCAGAAATGTGTATTTTATT